TTTAATGTCAAATGATTAAAAATTATCTTTGAACATATATTATCTCGTACTTATCATAGATTAATAAAAATAATAATAATAACTCTCAGTTTTTTATTAATCTAAGTGAATATAATGTAATATATGTTAAAGCTCTCAATCGTTTAATATTAAACATATATATTCTTACATACATAAAATTTGAATTCAAAATGTTAGAGAATAAGAAATAGTTAATCATTTAACTCGTTTGATTCATACAACTCTTAATGTATTATGCATTAGAAAGGCTAAAAATATTAATTTATATGCAATCGATTATGTTGCATACATTGCATTAATGCTATATTTTAATTTTATTTTACATAATTTCATATTGAAATACCATTTTTTTATACTTTTAAAAGAAAAGAAAAATTGGGTAAAATTTTTTTGTAAGGTAATAATAATAGTTTCTAGGTATCATATTCACGTGTTTTGGAGGTTATGCTGGCCATAAAGGGGCAGATGGCCCTTGAATATGATATGGTGGGGCTGACAACGACCCTAATAATAGTCCCTTCAAAATAAAAATATTATATTTATAACTGGTTCTTTTTTAAACTTAGACGCCGATCTTTACTAAAATTAAAAGTATAAATAGGTGTCAGGTTTTTAATTAATTTAAAGTGATTATAAGTAAAATTATTTATTTTAAAGATTTTTAATTATTTAAGAATAAAATTTTAAATATTATGTAATTGCTGATATTTAAATTTAAAATCTTTAAAGATAATAATCTTTCTTTAAGTTGGTATGAAATTAGTGTTAGCTAAATTAAGTAAATTGCTTGTGCTTAGTTAAATTAGGGTTGGTATGAAATTAGTGTTAGCTAAATTAAGTAAATTGCTTGTGCTTAGTTAAATTAGGGTTGGTCTCATTTTTATAATATTCGATTTAAATTAATCGATCGATAAAATCGTAAAACGCATGCATGAACCATAAAAAGATGGTTAGAACCCTCGACATCCATGAATCCCTAATGTCATTTCCAGCTTATTATGATAAATGCCTACCAAACTTTATAGCTTTCTCCTCTACCCTTATCTTGTTTATTTTTGTCCATATATTGGCATATGAACACGTTAATTAAAACGTCATAAAAATTTATAATATATGCAAATCTGGTTTTATAACAAATTTATAGTAACAAAATGTTAAATAAAGTTATATTTTTTAGAAACAATTTTGAATCTGTAAATTACATAAATTTTATTTTATTTACCTTTTCTTAATATTTAAAATAAGGGTAAATTACACCAATCATCACTGAACTTTATTCACTCTCGTATTTTACTCATTGTACTTTAAATCCGTTAAATTTTCTCAATGCATTTAACACAACCATTTTTCTCACTAAGTCGTTTCTCACTAAATGACGTTATAAATGAGTTGTTATATAGATGCAAAATGACGTTATTTTGGAGAAAGTTTTATTTTTCTAAAACATCAACGTTTTAACATCGTTAAATATTTAACGGCTAAGTGACCAAAAATGCTAATTGTATTAAATTTGCTGGAAATGAATATTGCAAAATCACACTGTTCGAACTGACAAGACAAATTAAAACTATAATCAACAAGTGAACAATCGAAACCGTGTCGTGGTGAAAATCAATGCTATAGAAACAAATTCGTCCCAATGTGTGTAATCGCTTAACACGGTCGCTACGAGAATTCATACACCTGAAACTTGGCAAAAAATTTGTGTCGTGATGAAAACCACTGCTTTAAAAATAAATTCGCCGTAATCGTGTCGTGGTGAAAACCACTGCTTTATAAACAAATCGCCGCAATGTGTGTAGTCGCTTAACACGATCGCTCCAAGAATTCGTACACTCGAAACTTAACAATCGAAACCGTGTCGTGGTGAAAACCACTGCTTTAGAAACAAATTCGTCCCAATATGTGTAATCGCCTAACACGGTCGCTCCAAGAATTCATACACCCGAAACTTAACAACTGAAACCGTGTTGTGGTGAAAACCATTGCTTTAGACACAAATTCGCCCCAATGTGTGTAATCACTTAACACAATCGCTCCAAGAATTCATACACCCAAAACTTAACAACTGAAACCGTGTCGTGGTGAAAACAATTGCTTTAGAAACAAATTCGCCCCAATGTGTGTAATCTCTTAACACGATCACTTCGAGAATTCGTACACCCGAAACTTCACAACTGAAATCGTGTTCTGGTGAAAACCACTACTTTAGAAACAAATTTGCCCCAATGTATGTAATTGCTTAACACGACCGCTCTGAGAATTCATACACCCGAAACTTGACAACCAAAATTGTGTCATGGTGAAAACCATTGCTTTTATAAACAAATTAGCCCCAATGTGTGTAATCGCTTAACACAGTCATTTCGAGAATTCGTACATCCGAAACTTAACAACCAAAATCGTGTCATGGTGAAAACCACTGATTTAGAAACAAATTCGACCCAATGTGTGTAATCACCTAACACCGTCGCTCCGAGAATTCGTACACCCGAAACTTAACAATCGAAATCGTGTCGTGGTGAAAACTACTGCTTTAGAAACAAATTCGCCCCAATATGTGTAATCGCTTAACACGGTCACTCTGAGAATTTGTACACCCAAAACTTAACAACTGAAACCATGTCATGGTGAAAACCACTACTTTAGACACAAATTTATCCCAATGTATTCAATCGTTTAACACGATCGCTTTAGAATGCATATACCCAAAACTTAAAAACTAAATTTGTGTCGTGGTGAAAACCACTACTTTAGAAACAAATTCGCTCTAATGTGTGTAATTGATTAACATAATCGCGCTGAGAATTCGTACACTTGAAACTAGAGTGAACTGCCAGTGGTACTACTCTTCTAATAGCAGTAGAGAAAATAAGCTCAGAAAACCTTTGAAAGTTAAGAAGATTAGTGTTGAGTGAATTGAGAATGCTAACAATTTTTCTCTATTTATAGCTTGAGTTCATCCATTTGTAACTCTTGTAACGAGCCAAGACCTTGACCTCGAATGATTGTGTCTAAGTCCACGAGACGAACATCAGCGCACAAGATGGTCTCTTATTCTCTATCACTCAACAAGAGAGAAAAGTGAACACTATAAATACCCATGACAATGGTATTCTCACTCAATGTGGGATAGTATCGAAACATTACCAACAAAAATCAGTAAGAAAATTGAATGTATTTAAAATACAGTGAGTGAAATTAAAGATAATAAAATTCAGTGATGATTAATGTAATTTACTCTTATAAAATAAGTATAATTAATATTCGTTCGGAGGTGACAAAAGAGAGAAAACGTGCCGTGCCATGCGATGCGCAGCTTTCAACCACCGCCGACACCTCCCTTTCAAGATCCCCTTTGGTAATCCAACTTCTCTGATAAGATGCTTGACCAATTACTTTTTTTTTTTCTTTTCTAGTTTTAATTTTAGATTATAAAAGAAATACTTTAAATAAAATAAAATAAAGTGGACGTCTAAAATACGCCCCAAAAAAATCAAAAGATACGATAAGAGCAGGAGTGAAAAGACTTTTTCGTAGTTTTTGTCCACTGTTTCTTTGCCTTTTGTCCTTTTTTTTACCTCTTTTAGCTTTGCCCCCGCTTCCTTCTCGTGTCTTCTAAAATATATATATATATTTTTTATTTTAAAAGTTGCAATATAATGATATTATAAAATTAGGTAAATTACATCATTCTTTCCTTGAATTATATTCAATGTATTTTTAATTTTTTAATTTATTCACTGAATTTTTAAATTAATCTTATTTTGATCAATTTGAATTATTTTATTATTGTTTTCATATGATGTGGTAATGTTTTATTATTTAATATAAAATAAAAACAAAAGGTAGTTAGATGTTATCGTCAGCCACCGTCGACTGCCGTAGATGATGGTCGTTCGATCTCAAATTTTATGGGTTATTTCTTTTTGACTTCCTGAGTTAGAATTTAGTGGTTTTTCACCGAAAAATATCCCAAAAACCCTTGACTTTTGACTAAAACCTTTCAACTTCCTCACTTTTAATATCTAATTATTAGAATTTGGAGCAAGTTTCGACAAATGGAGGTTGAATTCGGACTCACGGCGTCGAGCGAAGTGACCCATAAAATTTAGGATCGAACGACCACAATCTACAACGGTGTAAGGCAAGCAACGGTTATGTTCAGCCAATTTATGTTTTTATTTTTTATTTTATATTAAATAATAATAAAAATATCACATCATATAAAAACAATAATAAAATAATTCAAAATATCAAAATATAAATAATTCAAAAATTTAGCAAATAAATTTAAAAAATAAAAATACGATAAATAAAATAATGTAATTTCACCTGAAAAATAACAATAATCCAGTTATTATCAAAATATCAACATAAAATTGATTAGAAAGGAAAATATGTACAAAACGGTGCGTTTTGGTAGGAGGGAAAGAGAAAGGAAAAAGTTGGAGAGACTAGCAGTCTAGTTCTGCCATACAGCGGCAGAACAAACAACAGCGACATTTGCGCGCGTCCTACGTGTCAGCTTTTGCCTCACACCTGTCCTTTTCAGTCTTCTCCCTCCTGGTTGACCCCACGCGTTTCTCGCGCGTCACTCCTATCCACCTTTTTACCATTTTATTTTTCTTAGCTCCTTCTTCCCTATATGTCGGGTAGATGCCCCTAACTCTATGGGGTCCCCACCTGTTTTTGGTAACATGGTCACCAATTTTTTTATTAATATTATCTATTATGGCATATATTTTTTAATGTATTTGCAATTTATATTTTGTAAGATTAACTATCTGTTGATGGATTATTCAAAATTTCAAATAATACAAATTTGAAATGATTTTTATTTTCATTTTAAAAAATGTATATTAAAAAACAATTAAATCCGAGCTAAAACACTTGACACTATCATTTTAGTGGAAGTTTAGAGGAAAAAGAATTAATCTAATTAATTACAAAATTTTGGAAAATCAACATTTCTTCTTGATTTTTTGGTGGGTATTTTGATTTTTTTTTGGTTTATGACATGTTAACATGAACACTTGCATTTTTAGTGGATTTACAAGCGGGGCAAGTATGAACCGTCGACCCACAACTGGTACACAGGCACAAATGCCTGCACGGTAATAGCAGCACGCACGATTCCTCCTTCCCGCAATTTCTACAGACACGACCGGCACCACTGCCTCCGGTGCTACCTTCCTCGGTAGTCGCTGCCAACGTGCGCTGCTTCTCCACCTCCGAACTGCTGCCGCAAAAAGACTGCGCATCATCCACGTCGTCTCCCGCCGGTTCCACGGCGACATCCTCCTCCGCGCCTCCATGAGTGCGCTCGCCCTTGAGCTGGGCGGCTGCGAGGACTTGTTCGAGGTTGGTCCTTAGTGCGTTGGCGGTTGCCTCGTTGGTTTGAGCCAAGTCGCGCCATATTTGGTTCTCTATGCACAGAGATTTCACTCTTTCTTCGAGTGCCCAATTTAGTTTACCTATCTTCTCGATTTCTTCTTCTTTGGCTCTCAACTTCTTCATCACCCCTCCTTCGATTGCCTCCATTATATTCCTCGCTTGCCTCTTCCTTTTCTCCTCAATTTCCACCCTCATTTTCTCCGTCTAAAAGAACCCAAACTCCGTCAATATCAAAACATTAAAAAGAACAAAAAAAAAAAACTCACGTGTTGGGAGATAAGATGATCAATATCCAACTGCTGTTGCTCCATATGAAGCGAAATATCATGACCCAGAAACGAGAACGGAGAGCAAGCTTTATTATTGTTACCGCCATGCGGTTGTTGCTGAGCCAGTGAAGGAAACGAAAGGATTGGAATAATGGAATCCCTCGGGCGCTTTCTGGGTAACGGAAGAACATTGTTACACGTCAAACTACTTTCCGATTTCATCGCCGCCGCCGCTGCAGATTTTTGATCGTTAACAAAAGAGTTATACAAAGGAAGCAATCCTTCCGTTGGAAACCCGTATTCCATCTCTGCCGGATACAGATTCCCGTTTGCTTCAACGTGATTCATCATGTCCCTGTGAACACAAAACGAATCTCAGAGACGATTCAAAGAGCAAATGAAAATATTTCGTCGTTCAGAGCAGTCGCGTCGGTTTTAAAACGAACCCGTTCCCTAAGAATGGAGAGGGGAAAAGAGTGAGATGCCTAGCTTCAACAGCCATGGAGGAAATGATAGCGTTTTGAGCTGGCTTTGCTACGGCTTTTATGAGGGGTGAAATGGAAGAGAAATATAGTTGTGGTGGGGTTTATTTAGGATTCGTTTCCGTTCGGTTTAAATAAATAAAAAATTAGATTGCATTTATGAAGCAGAAATATAAGGTTATAAAATAGAAGATTAGTTCGTTGGTTTGGATATTTTGTCTATTTTAAGATTTCTTTACCAAATTAACCTCTTGCCTTTCCTCTTACTTCACTCTCCAATAAACAATTCGATCCAAATAAAATTAAAGATGTATATGGTCTAATTATGCTTCCACCTCCCATACTCTTCACATATTTTAAATTTAATCTCTTTATTTATTTTTGATAGGATGATAAGATTAGGGAACAACACTAGAATTAGAAACAGCAACACTGTTGCTTGGTCAATCACGTGTGCGTTTGTTGTGCGGGATAGAGTTGTAAATGAGATGAGTAAGACTGTGAGTTACTTCAAATCTTGCTTGATAAATACTCTATTCGAAGGGATTTAAATCGAGTTTTTCACAAGCCTAAACGAATTATTTGACATTCGACTCGAAAAGTTCGCAAACAACTAAAAAAATTTATTTATTAAAATTTTCATTTTTCTAAAAATAAATTATTAATAATTTTAACATTTATTTTTTTATTTTTTTAAATATAGTAAAAGGGTTTCATGTACTTAAGGTTCTGGTTTGAGCTTCAATTGAATTAAGTTTATTTTTTTATTTCGAGCCTCAATTCATGATTTTGAGTTCAATTCGAAATTAAAACTATTAGGCTCACGAGTTTCTGAATGAAATCGAACTTAAAAATATTTGAACTCGACTCGGCTCGTTTACGATGCTAGTGTGAGTAGACTTTTCTAATAAAAAAGTTAGACAATCCAATTTACCAGAATACATTCGATTGTGTTATCTACTGGGGTTCAATTATTATATCAACAGAATAAATGACTGAATTATTATATTAGGAATACAGGGACTAAATTTCATATCTGCTAGTACATGAACCGAGAGCAAATTAGACCAATATATAAATCTAAGTATAATCTGTAAAATTTGTAACTTTGTAAGGGTATTTTAGGGATGAAACGGGTTTACCGTCTTGTTCACGTATTTATTTATTTATTTTAAATTTGGTTCATTGTCTTGTTTACATAATTGGTTGTGATGAAATGAAAGATTCGATCATTGACCGTCAGGGTATCTTCCACGTGTACAACGCCACGTAAGCATAGCTGCGGGCGTTTTTCTTTTTCTCTTTCCCTTGATACCCTCTCCTGAAACAACGTGAGAGAACGTGCGGGGTCCACCCATACACTTGTGGGACAGGGTGAGAGGCAACGTGAGGAAAAGCGTGGCAGATACGAAATTAATTTGTATTTTGAAAAAAGGTTTAATGTAACCGGCGATCCCTTCATTCTTCTCATTTGTTATGTTAAAACCCAATAAAGCCTTATTCCCGCCGTGACAATAGGTTTCGTTTGGGATTTGGGAATGATTCTTCAAACGAGTTTTTCAACGAAAAAATATTGTTTTTTTTAGTTTCTTGGTTTGACTGAAGATAAGTTGTTTGATAATTTTTTTTTTTGCTTTTCAAACAGAATTTTAGATGAAAGGCACTTTTTATCAGTATTCTATAAAACGGTCCCTAAATTGTATTTAGAAAAGGTTTAAACTTACTGATGACCCCTTCACTCTTCTTATTTTTTATATTCCAGTCCAATAAAGTCTTATCTAAATTGGTAAGGTTGAGGTCTAGACATGAACCAAGTGACTATTGTTGTTCATTGATAATAATAAATTAGGTAAATTTTTAATGAACCAAGTTGGATCATAACATCACATTAAACTTTTAGTTCAAGAATTCATGTACATTGACTTCAAATTTTAATAGTAATAATAAATTAGGTAATTTTTTAAGAACTATAAGGTTTGTTAAATGAATTATTGTCTAACTCATTATCACTATAAATGAATTTAATATAATAATAACAATAATAATAATAAAATTATTTTTTAATGGATTGGGGTGATTATAAGGTAGTATATGTTCAGAATATTTCTTAATCATTAATAATGCACGTACCCTACCAGTGGCAGATCTAGAATTTTTTTTGAGGGTGTGTACACATATATTAATAATATAATTTTTTATATTTAAATAGATACAATAAAATTTCAGGGAGTGCACGTTCCCACCCTAACACGAATGTACACCCACCACTGTACCCTACAGACATAACTACTCAAAACTAAGACCTCTACAAATAACAATATTCATTTAACCATTGAAATCACTTAATATATTCGACAAATAATAAATTCTATAAAGTTATCTATAAAATTATCTTTGAAAATTCCATATCAACGTACATATAATCAAAATTTTAATTTGAATAATTTTACGTATAATTTGACTTTTTTTTTAAATAATTTATCTTTGGCAATATGATCCGCATACAGGCATTTGTTAAGAAGAATAGGTTTGGCCATAATTCAATTTGGATAGGTGATATTTCTTATGTTTTGGATGGATTTTCCAAGAGAATTAGATGCATTGATCTGTTGGAAGGTTGAATTATATTTAATAATAATGTAAATTTTAGTAACGATTTTAATATTCTAGGTAAATATAGATTTTTTCCCTTTCGGGTTTTAAGGTTTCGTCTTGACTAATCCGAATTTATCCATGTAACACACCTGACTTTGGTGAGCAAGAATTTTCTGTATACACAAAGACTCAAACTCGAAACCTTGATTAAGCGATATCAAACTGCTTTTCACTTGAACCAACCATGTTAATGGTAAATATAGATATTTATTTAAAATAATTGAAATCAGACCCTCGTAATTATATTATTTTATGTATCTTCTTTAGGATTTCTTTAATTTTATCGTATTAGCGTTTGATACAAAGATATGCCTAGATTTAATACAGTGACACAACAAAACTATTTTATGTGTCACATATATATATGATAACAACCATGTCCTAATTTTATGCTTCCAAGGCAAATCTCCATCTTCATTATAAAACTTAACATTTGAGCAATATATATTATACATATAGAGTGCTGTACACTTTTGTTTTGGCATCATAAGATAAAGTTTAGCTTAAGCAACATTAGACAAATCAGCTTCATTTGAGGAGACTAAATGACAAAAATAAGCATACAAACAAAGGGAGAAATTTAGGGTTTTACTAAATTAAGTGGCCAACTAAGGGTTTTCAGACATTGTACTTATTTTGCATTGCATGATTCGGGCATCTCGGCGAGGAGAGACAGATATTAATTTTTTTTAATCATGAAAATATAATATAATGTGTATATATATATATATATATATATATATATATATATATATATATATATATATAAGCAAAGATGTGGCTTGCAAGGCAGGCCGTACAGACAGAGAGGACCTTTATATTAATTCATTGATAAATACATTGCACCCATTGCTCATATTTCCATTTCATGGATCTCCGATTGCACCCATTGTTCATATCATATATTACAATTTATTTTTTTAATAAATTTATTAATTAAGTATATCTTTAACTTGTGATATAATTTTTTAAGACAAAAAGGCATCAGAGGTCTATATACTTTTGGGGGGGGGGGGGAATCAATGTGACCCTAATTTCTTTATCTCAAAATGACCCTCCAACTTAGAGCGACGAAAAACGTTCAGTACCGTGGACTATCACTTATCATCGTAACGGTCAAACGGCAAAAAACATTGGTCAAAGGGTCACATTGAACTTATTTTTTTAGTTGGAGGGCCACATTATTTTTTAGGTACAAAGATCTTTGATGCTTCATTGCTTCTTTTTTTTTTTTTTATAAATCTAAGGTAATATTTGTTCTAAAGACTTTCAATCATTTGACAATGAATGCTTAAATGTTCTGTATTCTCTGATTCTCGAACTTAAGACATCTAGGAATAACATCCGTTCTTTTGACAATGAATACGTTAGATATCTCCATCATGTTTGGTCTGAGCAACCATGCTTTTATTTTTATATATTTGTTTCAAATCATTGATTTTTTTATCAAGTATACTTGAATATGATCTTCTTGTTTAGGAATAAAACTCTCTTATCTTAATAAATAGAATTAAATAAAGAGAAAATTGGATGCTCATTGCTCTTGAATGCATCTTGTCATCATAAACTAGGACATCACAATATATAATATTAAAATAAAAGGGAGTATAATAGATATGAAGGGAGGGGGGTCATGTTTTCTTGTGCTTCCCCTTCATATTTCAACTTATTATTTATTGCACCAATTCGACTTGATTTATGGAGGTTTCCCTTTAACTTTATTTCCTCTTCACATTTCAACTTATTAAAGTCATTGGTACTGTGTGTTCTTCATGTGGTATCCAACCCTTTCTTTGTTTTCTCTCACACAATGAGAATCTCAATATCTCCCCCACTCTTTCACTACCATTTTCTATTCCCCTTTCTCGAGAATCTAGTGTGCATCGATATACATATAAATTAGAATCCACTTATACAATGTAAAACTCTTTAGTTTTACATAGATTTAGAATCGTTGGATGAGTGAAAATAGATGATTGAGATTGACTCATTGTTTTTTGTCTAGTAAATATCTTCACATTTACTACTTTTAATCTCACTCATATATTTTCACTCATCCAACAACCTTAAATTGATGTAAAACTAAAAAAGTTACATTGTATAACAAAATCATAACTTTGACTATCCCATTAATTCTCAAACCAAGTAGTGTTAATGAATGGTTGATGTTGGGTTTCTGTTTGAGCTATCATTATTTCTTGTATTGGAAACATACCTTTCTTAGAGTAAGCATATATATATATAATTATATTATAAGCTTTAATTATATATTTATAATAAAAATATATGAAATATCAGCAAATTTGACCATATTTTAAGGAAAGAAACTGCATGTATTCGTGGGGTCCGAGTAGTAAAGCTGAGGCACACATATATACATGTAAATATATTTATTCTTTTACTGAACTAAATGGTTACCCTTCGTGACTGTCAACTTTGCATGATAATGCAAATAACAACCAAACAAAAGTATTAAATAAAACAAGTATTTTTGGGAAATTTCAATGTCAAATATGGGCCTGGAATGGCAACAGATTTATTTAGTTTTATTTATATCACTTGCAATATCAATGACACATTTCCCAATCAATTATTTATAATTTTAATTTTATCTTTTCTGTGTATGTCTGATGATGTCTGACCCGGTCTTTTTCCATGTGCATACTATCATACTCTTGTCCCGCTTTATGACAAAGTTATTTTCAACATTCATTTCCCTCAACAATCTGCAATCTCCTTTTTCTTTTGTTTTCAAGGACAATTTATTATGAAATAAAAGCAGTAGTAGATGTTCTGTTAGCTTTCATATATATATATATATATATATATATATATATGTGTGTGTGTGTATGTATATGTATTGCAGTAAAATAGTACTGACCATTTTGACAGAAATTAATCATCATGTAGCTTCACAGCTCTATTTATCGTGGTTTATGTCTTCTTCTACCATCTGATCCTTTCCCTTGTCCCTCTTGCATTTATTGGAAGGAAAAATGTGGCATTGTCATGAAAATGTGATTACAGTTTACTTTTATTTTTCATGAATTATATATATTTCATCATTAAAAAAACAACTAAAAAATTGATGATGTTATAAGAATACAAAGATGAGAATGACCAATAAATAAATCAGATTACAAACAAAAAAACACATTTATGTAGAAAATCTTAAATAAAAACAATCATAGATTGAAAGATTTTTTTTACCATATTAATAGAAAATATAATAAAATTTCGAGAAATTTATTAAACCTTTAAACCCTAACTATATATGTAATATTAAGAATTAATTTTGTGATGAAATTTGAGGATTGTGAAATGTCCGAGTTTCGCAGGACCAAGCGAGCTGTATGCGTATCACTATCCACCACCTCAAACGGATTGACCCAGCCCGAAAACTGCCCAAATCATTAACGAATACGAATGATTTTCGAGTATAAAATCTATTACATATAAAAGGCAACATAATATAAAGCTGCAAAGGAATGAAATATGCCCAACCTCAAACTACATTTGTACTGGTTATAGTAATAGAATCCATTGATGTACTTGGCTCATTATTATGGCTCTCACAACCATTAGCCTCCATTGGTGTGTCAAGGGGAGGTTGATGAAACGGCTTTGGAGGCATTTCAGGTAGCTCATCCTTATTTTCAAGTATCTTCAACACTTTATTTATCGATGGACGATCTGCAGGCAGTGATTGTATGCACCAAAACGTTGTTATTATCATCTTTCTCACCATTGAATTTTCATCAGCAGAAGCATCTCCGAGCTCCATGTCCTCACCTTGATCCAATCGATCAAAAATCCAAGACGGAAAATAGATCTGACTGGTGTGATCAGCAAATGCATTCACATCCTTTCTCATTCCCATCATTTCCATTAGTAACATACCGAAGCTATAAACATCGGCTTTGTATGAGATGCCTCCCAGGTTTTTGTATACCAATTTTGGAGCAATGTATCCTATTGTTCCCCTTGTTGCAGTGAGCGACACAATGCTATCATCTACTAAATATAGTTTAGCAAGATCAAAATCTGAAACTTTTGGATTAAAATTGTGGTCTAGAAGAATATTGTGTGGTTTGATATCAAAATGCAGAATTTGCATGTCACACCCTCGATGCAAGTAGTTGATTCCTCTAGTCACCCTAAGCAATATCTCAAATATCTTTTTCCAGCTCACAGTATTCTTATTTTCTTCTGTAAATATGATTTTATCCAAAGATCCATTTAACATGAAATCATAAACAAGAGCTTGCTTTGATCCCTCCATACAAAATCCAACGAGTTTTTGCCGCGTTAGCATGATGGATTCTCCCTATTAGCCATTCATAATGGCTGAGCTGGCACAAAAGGATTATGAATTTGTTATAACATAATTGCATGGAATGTTCTAGTACTCTGTTCTCTCTATATACGTGTTTTTACATGGAAGATTTTATTTTGCAAAAATAACATACATACACAGTTTTTCAATCTAGTCCTCAGTCATCGTTTACCATCTTTCTCAAGATGATCTTTTCGACGTCTGCAACACCTTCGAATTCTATATTTTCTCCTTCTATACCATTTCGTCATTATTAAACTCGTTCAAAATTTAGTTTTAGATATATCTGAGTACATATGCTCATATATAACACAATACTAGTACATATGAAAGAAAATAATAATATAAAGCTACAAAGCGATGAAATGTTTCTGACCTCAAACAACATTTGATATGCTGCTGACATTAATATCATCCTTTGATGCAGTGGGCTCATCATTAAAGTTCTCAGCGCCATGAACCTCCGATGATGTGTCAAGAGGAAGTTGATGAAATGGCTTTGGAGGCATTTCAAGTATCTCATCCTCGTTTTCAAGCATCCTCATTACTTTATTCATTGAAGGACGATCAGCAGACAATAATTGTACACACCAAAAGGCTGTTACTAGCATCTTCCTCACCATTACTTTGTCATCATGAGAAGCATCTCCAAGCTCCATGTCCTCACCTTGATCCAATCGGTCATAAATCCAAGATGGAAAATAGATATGGCTGGTGTGATCAGCGAATGCATTCACATTCTTTCTCCTTCCCACCATTTCCATCAGTAACATCCCGAAACTATAAACATCGGCTTTGTATGAGATGCCTCCCAGGTTTTTGTATACCAATTCGGGAGCAATATATCCTATTGTTCCCCTTGCTGCAGTGAGAGACACAATGCTATCATCTACCGAATACAGTTTAGCGAGACCGAAATCTGAAATTTTTGGATTGAAGTTCTCATCTAGAAGAATATTATGTGGCTTGATATCAAAATGCAAGATTTGCATGTCACACCCTCGATGCAAGTAGTCGATTCCTCGAGCCACATCAAGCACAATCTCAAACATCTTTTTCCAGCCCAAAGTATTCTTATTTTCTTCCGTAAATATAACTTTATCCAAAGATCCATTTGACATAAAATCATATACAAGAGCTTGCTTTGATCCCTCCACACAAAATCCAACGAGTTTTACCACATTAGCATGATGGATTCTCCCAATAGAGGCAACTTCATTTATGAAATCTTGGCCATTACCCTTTGCTTTACCAAGCAATTTTACGGCCACATGATGTCCACTACGAAGCTTTCCTTTGAATACCGTGCCGTAGCCCCCTTCACCTAATTTTTCTTTGAAACCTCTGGTCATTTTTTTGATTTGTTTAAAAGAATACCTGATCGGAACTAGATTGTTTTGTCTTTGAAGGAACTCTTCGATCTTATCATCAAATGATAGATGTCTCCTCCTCCATGTATACGCAACAAGCGCAAGCAAACAAAGTATCCCAGCCGAAGTCCTCAGTAAGATTAGGCCAACTATGAAGAAAAACAAATTGCAGCACATTAGTAGTTGTGAAATGAATCCAATAACATGTTACCTACATTCTCAAAGTCTGTAAATGTAATCGAACTTGATTTTTGTTTCTATTTTTGTATATATGCAAATCGAGTCCAAAAGCATACCTGTTCCTTCAACATATTGATCATAAGCTCCTGTACAAATACAAAGACAAAAGATATATGCATATCAATATATATTTTTAACTCTGAACCTGATCTAATCTGATTTTAGGTTATTTTCACTCAAATTGAACCCGACCCATAAAATCTAAATCTAACTCGATCTAAAAAATATATACCTTTCACTCGAAACCCGATCTAATATGACTTTAGGATCAATTCAGGTTAGATTTTTTTCACCATAAACTTGAACTCGTCCCGAATATATTCTCTAAAAAATCAGACCCGACCAGAACCTAATTTTTATAGAAAAACTCAATCCTATACCCATCCCTACCTGTGCTTCCCCTCTTTTAATGGCATAGAATTATTTATTGCACCAATTTTTGACTTGATTTATGGAGGTTTCCCTTTTAACTTTATTTCCCCTTTGACTACCATTTTCTATTCCTTTTTCTCCAGAATCTGGTGTATATGCAATGCCTGTCCCTTAAACTTATTAAATGTAATTGAACTTGAATATTTTTTCCTATTGCAGAGTTTTTTTTTGTATATATGCAAAATGAGTCCAAAAGCATACCTGGCGCTTCAGTATAGTTATCTGTAGAAATACAAAGACGAGATATATGTATATCAATATTACTAAAGAACGAAAAAGGTAAATATAAAAGTAAAAATAACGCGAATAAAGTCTGCAAAGCATACTCCTTGAAGTGGGTTGATAGGGCCCATGGAAAATGAAATGTTTAAAGCTCTTCCAAATATCTTTCCAAGCCCTCGTGCACATTATCCAATCTGCAATATGAAGTATGAACACACCCAAATAAACAGAGTGATAGGTTTGATCCAAAAACTCAATACATGCTTTTCTAGCTAATGCTTTTCTGGGTTTGATCAAGGGTGTAAGCGTTTAATGTCGAAATGATTAAAGTTTTTTTTAAACAGATATTGTCTTGTACTTATCTCAGATTGATAAAAAAATATATGAATACACCAAAATAAACATAGGGATAGGCACGGGACGGGGTGGACCGGATTTTTGGTCACCTCGATCCTGACTCGACATTATATCATTTAAACCCGATCCTATCCCTCCCCTATAAATTCTAATATTTCTCCCGTCCCGACTCCATCTCGGGTTTTAGATTAAAATACCGATCTCGACCCGTTCTGACCTAAATATATTAATATTTTAAAATAATATATTTTATAATAATATATTTATAATTATTTATTATATTTTAAATTCTTAAAACAATATATTATATAATAATTTTTATATTTTTAATAATTAAAGTTATAAAAATAAAAATCATTAAAATCGTAAATATATTATATAAATATAAAGAAAATTAATAATATAAATCGAGTCGGGTCAGCTTTTTTCACCTTAAAACCAACTCTGACCCGTCGGAAATATTTATCATATAACTCGTCTCGTCCCACCCTAAACCCCAAAATTAAAAAAAGCCCCTATATGATCGGGTCGGTCAGGACCCATCAAATTCAGACTTTTCAACCTTCCCTAAATAAAAACATTGTGATAGGTTTGATCCAAAAACTCAATAAATTAAATTACCTCCAATATCGTTCTGATGTAATATTTACTCGATAAACAGAGTATTTAAGCATACTCAACCAGTGGATATAAAACTGAGATTCTTTGGAGAAACTTACACGTAATCTTGAAATGAAACTTGGTTGCTGGCGCAATACTCCTTCAAGTCGTCCTCCGTCATCCAGTCAATAAAGACTCCTTCAGATAGCTTATTGTAGATATCCAGCGTAGACATGCCTGAGATATTATGAACCCCAATTGGAACCTCCGCTTCCAAGGTGCAGGATTGACTGAAATCAGACAGCGGAGTTCCTCCGTCTAAAAAGTAGAAATAGGAAGAGGCATTGGAGTTGATCCTACAACGAGATGCTGGAATATAGAGAGCTGACTCTATAGGTTTCGTGCAATTCACAACATGCATAAGGCTAAGATTATAATCATGATCATCATAATACAATCGAACCGATTTTTCACAGTTATAATAATAAGCATCATTTGCGAAACTGAGAGGGAGGGAATTGCAATCATCCATGTCGAGGCCCGCATCAACCACTCGCATCATGTAATTTTCATAAAATATTTCTTCGACAAAGAATTTCCCCTCTCTCAAAATCAAAGTGGTGCGGTTATTTTTCTCACACTCAACTTCATACCTACGGTCACCACAGTGAGGAGGTTGGTTTTTCAACCGGAATGGGGAACTGATATTCAAGCTTCCACAAAAAACAGACCCACAATCCTGATTTACATGCCTGGCGAGGCAAGCACCAGGAAATACAAATACAACTAAAGCAAAAGCGGCCATTAGCTGACCCAACCATGGCAGCTTTGCTTTTTAACTGAATGTAGGTCCCTGGTGCGCCCTTGCCGTTTACGACAATGACAAACGGTTTTGATAGTATTAGGGTAGGCACCACATTAACAAATTTAATCAATTTTGAGGGCCATTTATGAAATTATACCATAAACAACTTCGACTTCAATTGCATTGTAATTACATTTCTTAGGGTTTTTAAATGTTAAAAAAGAGCTAAAGGTAGGAAATAGTAGTGGCAGGCAAGCTACAGTTTTAGGTCTAATTTGGTGGCCTATTCACTTGATAATTAATATATATAGGCATTTAATTTAATTTTTTTTATTTTATCAATGCTGAGATATTCTATAATTTCTATAAATTCTAATACAAGTTGTAATTATATTATATTGAATTTTACATATTTTTGAGTTTATATTTTTCTTTATCATATTTTAATTATTTTAATATATTATTATAATAATATATATTAAAGTATTGCATAGGTCCAATACTATAACATGGAGTGCATTTTGGTCCTTGCGTTTATAATAAATAGATAAATAAAACCGTTAGAGAGTTAGTGGTAAAGAAATGATTAAAGAAATAAGAGCAGTGGGTTGGCCTGCATGCAAAGGAGAATCAATGAATGAAACAACGTGCTTTTCTGCATCTAATAGATTCCTTCAACTTTTGTCTCTCTTCCTTTTCATTTTATTCTACTTTTTAACACATTCAAGATGCCTTTGATTTAAGTTATTCATATTTTTAGGGTAAAGTGTACAAATAGTCCCCCAATTAAATGGTGTTGTTTTTTAGTCCTCCAACTATCAAAAGTTACAAAATGGTCCCCTAACTATAGGATGTTGCTTTCTTGAGTCCCTTGACTATTGATTATGTTCCGAATTTATCCTTTTCTTTTAAAAAAACTTGACGACAGTCTGAGCTGAATGTTAATATGATGTATGATATATGATAAAATATGATCTTAGAATCTCAAGAGATTATCATATCTCAAACAATATATTAACATCCAACTTAGACTATCGTTAATTTTTTAACGAAAAAGGACGAGTTTAGAATAGAATGAATAGTTGAGTGACTATTTTGTAACTTTTAATAATTGAGGGACTCAACAAAGGAATATCTTATAATCGGGGATTATTTTGTAAGTTTTAATAGTTATGGGACTTAAAAAAGTAATGTCATATCTCCAGTTGTGTACTTCACGCTTTTTTATTCAACTCTAATAAAAAATATTAGTGACAATTTGGTAAGAAATAAAGAATCGAATTGATTGAATTGAAATGAGTAGTTTGTTTGGTTCAAATCGTTCATATGAACTTAATGGACGATGATAAGAAGATCGAGGATTAAAATTTATACTAATTAAAATAATTTAAACTGAATTATTATTTTTCATATAGAGGTAAAAGGTAATTTCAAGGCTTATGTCTTCTTTGAATTTTGTTAAAATGATATTCATAAAAAGAATATTTAATTGATAAATAATTTCCTTAAATTAAGTAAAATTAACACATTATATTCTTTTACAAATAATATTTAACCAATGCAATAATGTCTATAGTTAATAGTTTATAAAACCCTTTATTACCGATGATCAACTGATCTAATGAGATGAGACACTAGATTCTTTAAATAAGATTAGGGGTTTGAATTCTGATGTTTGCGTATGAAAAAAACTGGGTTGAAAGGGTTGTCCTCATAATTGACATTTTTAAAACTCGATCTGAATTAGCTGATCAATAAATCATATATTAAAAAAACCCTTTATTTATTTATTTTGGTTCACAATGGAAGTAACTTGAGATTTTGGCAACCACTTGATTGAATGGGTGTCATTAGTAAGAAAAAAAGAAGAAATACATATAGAATATAGAGGGAAGACCCTAAACATTTAAGGAACATCATTAAATTTCTTTGAATTCCAAAGGGTTTTTGGCCCATCCTCTTCTATTCTATTCTAATGATACAGTACTTGCATTAATTGTCCTTAGAGTTCGTGATTGTTTGGTATGAAATTGAATTAAAAGTACTATATTTTTCGTTCACACTTACCTTAAATACCATTTTATATAGGGATTATGTTGAGATTTATACCCTTTTATTCATCTAATCTCACTATTCATCTTATAACATTAAAATAAAGTAAAAACTCTATCACGGTTCATCTTGTTTTCCTATCAGTTAAAAATAAATCGTTCAAATACTTATGGTAATAGCAGTGAAATGCTTCCGATCTCAAACCACATTTTGATATGCTGCTTATGGTAATAGCATCCTTTGATGTACTTGGCTCACTAGTAGAACTCTCACAACCATTAGTCTCCATTGGTGTGTCCGGAGGAGGTTGATGAATGGATTTGGAGGCATTTCAAGTAACTCATCCTCATCCTCAAGCAACCTTAACACTTTGTTCATCGATGGACGATTTGTAGGTAATAATTGTACACACCAAAAAGCTGTTATTATCATCTTCCTCACCATGTTTTTTTTCATCATCAGAAACATCTCCAAGTTCCATGTCCTCACCTTGATCCAATCGGTCATAAATCCAAGATGGAAAATAGATTTTACTGGTGCGGTCAGCAAATGCATTCACATTCTTTCTCCTTCCCACCATTTCCATTAGTAACATCCCGAAACTATAAACATTGGCTTTGTATGAGATACCTCCCAGCTTTTTGTTTACAAATTCAGGAGCAATATATCCTCTTGTTCCCCGTGCTGCTGTGAGAGACACAATGCTACATCTACTGAATATAATTTAGCAAGACCAAAATCTGAAATTTTTGGATTAAAATTCTCGTCTAGGATAATATTGTGTGGTTTGATATCAAAAATGCAAAATTTGCATGTCATGCCCTCGATGTAGGTAGTCAATTCCTCGCGCCACACCAAGCACAATATCAAACATCTTTTTCCAGCCCAGAGTGTTTTTATTTTCTTATGTGAATATGATTTTATCCAAAGATCCATTTAACATGGAGGTAGTCGTATACTTCCACATAGAATCCAACAAGTTTTGCCACATTAGCATGATGGATTCTCCCAATAGAGGCAACTTCATATATGAAAATCTTGGCCATTACTCTGTGATTTGTTAAGTAATTTTACGGCCACATGATGCCCACTACGAAGCTTTCCTTTAAACACCGAATCGTAACCCCCTTCGCATAGTTTTTCTTTAAAATTTCTGGTTATTTTTCTGATTTGTTTAAAAGAATACCTGACAGACGCTAGTTTGTTTTGTCTTTGAAGGAACTATTCGATCTTATCATCAAATGATGGATGTCTCCTCCTCCATTTATACGCAACAAGCGCAAGCAAACAAAGTATCCCAGCCAAAGTTCTCAATAAGATTAGGCCAACTATGAAGAAAAACAAATTGGAGCACATTAGTAGTTGTGAAATATACCCAATAACATGTTGCCTACATTCTCAAAAAGTCTGTAAATGTAATTGAACTTGATTTTTTTTTGTGTACATGCGAATCGAGTCCAACAGCATACCTGTCCCTTCGACAAAGTGATCATAAGTTGCTGTAGAAATACAAAGACAAGAGATATATGTATATCAATATTACTAAAGAAAAAAAGAGGTAAAGTATAAGTAAAAATAACGCAAATGAACTCTGTAAACCATACTTTTATACATTTCACTACGAGTGGGTTGATAGGGCCCATGGAAAATGAAATGTTTAAAGCTCTTCCAATATCTTCCCAAACCGAATTGCACTATATACAATCTGCAATATGAAGTATGAACACACCCAAATAAACAGAGTGATGGGTTTGATGCAAAAACTCAATAGATGTTAAAATTTATGATGCTAAAATTTAAACCATTATCGATATTGATGTTTAGCTATACTTTCCACCGTTAATATATAGTTTATTACACGACAAGTTATTTTAAGAAATCTACAAGATAGACAATATCCGATTCACGTGTAATCGACACAAAAATCCTAGTATTTAAGTGGTAAAAAGCAGTAGAGGGATAGAATTTTAAATCTAAAGTTAATGATGTACTGAAGCATACTAAGAGATCCTTTGAAGAAACTTACACGTCTTGAAATGAAAGTTTGTTACTGCAAGACACCTTGAAGTCGTACACTGACATCCATCGAAGCCAAAGACCTTGAGATAGCTTAGTGTAGATAGCCAGCGTAGACATGCCTAGGATATTATCAACCTTAATTGGAACCCGGGCTTCCACAATGGAGGATTGACTGAAATCAGACGGCGGGTTGTTTGATCTAAAAAGTAGAAATAGGAAGAGGCATTGGAGTTGATGCTACAACGAGATGTTGAAATATAGACAGCTGACTCTATAGCTGTCGTGCAATTCACCACAGACATAAGGCTACGAGGATACAATAGAAACTATGTTTCACAGTAATATTATATGGAAGTGAGAGGAAGGGAGTTGCAATCATCCATGTCCAGCCCCGCATCAACCACTCGCATCGTATTATTCTCATATAACATTTCTTCCACTGAGAATTTCCCCTCTCTCCCAACAAAAGTGGTGCGGTTATTTTTGTCACACTCAACTTCATACCTATGGTCACCACACTGAGGAGGTCGGTTTTTCAATCGGAATGGATAACTGATATTAAAGCTCCCACAAAAAACAGACCCACAATCCTGGTTTACATGCCTAGCAACGCAAGCACCTGGAAATACAAAAACAAGTAAAGCAAAAGCGGCCATTAGCTGACCCAACAATGGCAGCTTTGCTTTTAATTTCAAAGCTAATATCAGTATCTTAAAATTTCAAAGCTAATATCAGTACCAAATTTGTTCAATATTTAGTTCTAAGTATATATCTGTGTACATATGCTCCACATATAACATTATACAAGTACATATAAAATGCAAAATAATATAGAGGTGCAAAGCAATAAAATGCTTCCGATCTCAAACCACATTTGATCTGCTGCTTATATGGTAATAGAATCCATTGATGTAGTTGGCTCATCATTAGGGCTCTCACCAGCGTGTACCTCCGATGATGTGTCAAGAGGAAGTTGATGAAATGGCTTTGGAGGCATTTCAAGTAACTCATCCTCGTTTTCAAGCATCCTCAAGACTTTACTCATCGATGGACGATCAGCGGGAAGTAATTGTATGCACCAAAAGGCTGTTATTAGCATCTTCCTAACCATTACTTTTTCATCATCAGAAGCATCTCCAAGCTCCATGTCCTCTCCTCGATCCAATCGGTCATAAATCCAAGACGGAAAATAGATTTGACTGGTGTGATCGGCAAATGCATTCACATTCTTTCTCTTTCCCACCATTTCCATTAGTAACATCCCGAAACTATAAACATCGGCTTTGTATGAGATGCCTCCGATGTTTTTGTATACCAATTCGGGAGCAATGTATCCTATTGTTCCCCTTGCTGCAGTGAGAGACACAATGCTATCATCTACTGAATACAGTTTAGCAAGACCGAAATCTGAAATTTTTGGATTGAAGTTCTCATCTAGAAGAATATTATGTGGCTTGATATCAAAATGCAAGATTTGCATGTCACACCCTTGATGCAAGTAGTCGATTCCTCGAGCCACACCAAGCACAATCTCAAACATCTTTTTCCAGCCCCAGAGCGTTCTTATTTTCTTCCGTAAATATGATTTTATCCAAAGATCCATTTGACATGAAGTCGTATACAAGAGCTTGCTTTGATCCCTCCACACAAAATCCAACGAGTTTTGCCACATTAGCATGATGGATTCTCCCCATAGAAGCAACCCAAGCACAATCTCAAACATCTTTTTTCCAGCCCAGAGCGTTCTTATTTCTTCCGTAAATATGATTTTATCCAAGATCCATTTGACATGAAGTCGTATACAAGAGCTTGCTTTGATCCCTCCACACAAAATCCAACGAGTTTTGCCACATTAGCATGATGGATTCTCCCCATAGAAGCAACTTCATTTATGAAATCTGGCCATTACCCTTTGATTTGCCAAGCAATTTCACTGCCACGTGATGTCCACTACGAAGCTTTCCTTTAAACACGGAGCCGTAGCCCCCTTCACCTAATTTTTCTTTGAAGCTTTTTGTCATTTTTCTGATTTGTTTAAAGGAGTATCTAATTGGTGAGAAATTGTGGTTTTGCAGGAATTCTTCAATCTTATCATCAGCTGATAAATGACTTCTTCTCCACTTGTAGATAACAAGCACAACCAAAAAGTATTCCGAGCAGGGTCCTCAGCATGATGAGTCCAACTTTTTTTAACGGAAAAAGACATAATGGAAAACATTAGTACTTTATGAGATCAACACAGTAAATGTCTTGCTAAGATAACTACTCCTTTAAAAGAAAGGTAAAATTGAATGCATTGGTAAATGATCAATAAAGTTACCCATTATGTGAATATAGCAGAAGTAAAGCTAATTTACCTGTTACTCCAACACATAAAACGCGAGCAACTGCAGAATAATGCCATTAAAAAGAAATTTATTTCAATATGAGGAAGCAAGTGTAAATTGATCAATAACGATGAATTCTGCCAATTGAACATACGGTGGTTTGGATAGATATATGGGAGTATATGGGGCCATTGAACAAGTAATGCACGAAGCTCCACATAGTTTTCCAAGGCATATAGCAAGGCTTGTGGGAAGGCTTGCAAGTATGTAACCTAGATTACATTTAAATATTAGTGTAAATTACTAAAAAAAAATCCAACAAAATAGACAATATCTGAGTGACATAATGACACAACAATAATAAAAGGTAAGAGGCAGCAAATGGATATAATTTGGGTAACTACACCATTCACTATTGAACTTTGCTCTCTCTCCTATTTCACTCACTGTACTTAATTTTTAATTTAATCATTAAAATTTCAAATTATTCTTGTTTTGGTCACTACAAATTACTTATTATTATTATTTCATTGCATTTTTATATATATATAAAAATAATTTAAAATAACTTAAAAAGATTTAAAATAACCGCCTCTTTTCGTCACCGTTGATTACTTTCGACTTTTGGAATCAGTAGCCATCTATGACCATTGGCATTTCAATTTTCTCACTTTTGACCGGATTCAGAGCGTGTTTTGATAAAGTAGAGGTCGTATTCAGACTCGGGAGATCAAGATGAAGTAACCAATGATATTTGGGACCGAAAGATCACCATTTACGACCGTTGGTGGTGGTGTCCAACGACGAAAAACAATAGACGATTACCATTTGGGTTTAATTTTATATTTTAAATTATTTTTATACTAAATAATAATAAAAAAGGCCACATTATACCAAAATAATAATAAGATAATTTAGTGACCAAAACAGAACTAATTCAAAAGTTCAGTGAGAAAATTAAAAAATTGAAAATATAGTGAGTGAAATAGGAGAGAAATAAAGTTAAGTAGAAATGGTGTAGTTTACCCTGTAATTTTAACATTAAAGAAAGAAGTGAGTCAAACTAAACAAAAGACAGAGGCAAATGCTTTAAACAAAAAATGTAAAGTTAATGATGTATTACTAGAACACTGAGATTCTTTGGAGAAACTTACACGTCTTGAAATGAAACTTTGTTGCTGGTGTATGTGCAATACTCCTTCAAGTAGGACTCCGTCATCCATGTAAGAAGAACACCTTGAGATAGCTTATTGTAGATATCCAACGTAGACATGCCCGAGATACTATAAACCCCAATTGGAACCTCCGCTTTCAAGGTGCAGGATTGACTGAAATCAGACAGCGGAGTTCCTCCGTCTAAAAAGTAGAAATAGGAAGAGGCATTGGAGTTGATCCTACAACGAGATGCTGGAATATAGAGAGCTGACTCTATAGGTTTCGTGCAACAGTGAGGATAATAAGAATAATATACGGAAGTGAGAGGAAGGGAGTTGCAATCATCCATGTCGAGCCCCCCATCAACCACTCGCATCGTATAATTTTCATAAGAGATGTCTTCCACTGAGAATTTCCCCTCTCTCAAAACCAAAGTGGTGCGGTTATTTTTCTCACACTCAAGTTCATACCTACGGTCACCACAGTGAGGAGGTTGGTTTTTCAATCGGAGTGGGTAACTGATATTCAATCTTCCACAGGAAACAGACCCACAATCCTGATTTACATGCCTGGCGAGGCAAGCACCAGGAAATACAAATACAACTAAAGCAAAAGCGGCCATTAGCTGACCCAACCATGGCAGCTTTGCTTTTAATTCTGGCATGCTAAAGTTTTGGGTAGGGAAGAAGAAGAACAATGGGAATGGAGGTTAACAACCAAGTATCTAACTAAATCCAGGTAAATTTATTAGAGAATATCAGCCTGAGAATAAGCATCAATGGCGACTGAAGACTTTGACTTTGCCTAGTCATCGTGGTGTTTTAAATTGTGAGCCTGTCTGAGCCGAAAAATCAACATGCGACCGTTTAGTCAAAAAAAGTTTGGCATAACCTTCACATTTAATACTTAAGTTATCAGTTTTGATTCGTTTTAATATCTAAACTTTTAAAAAAAATTAAAATTATACTTGATTTTTAGTTTTTATTTCCTTTTAGTACACATCGTTAAAACTTAATGGACGGACTGACGAGGTATATCTCCAGTGGACGAGCAACCAATCCAAACAATGGATCACGAGAGAATGACAAGTCGACCAATATAGTCTAGTTTCATCCCCATCAGATGGTTGAAGAAGGAGATTAAAAGTTTGGCTTTACCGGCCAACAGATGTGATAGCCAATGACTATAGACGCGATAGACGACGAGTCTATCCGTTAAATTTTTAACAACAATATACTAAAATGAAATAAAAACTAAATGTTATGTATGATTTTTTTTAAATTAAGTTTTAGATGTTAAAACAAATTAAAACTGATAATTTAGATAATATGCTTAATGAAGAGAAGAGAACTAGTAGTATTGTAATTAACGGCGGATCTAGAAATATTTTTCAGGATAAATACATATATATTAATAATATAATTTTTTTCGTATAAGATAAACATAAATAAAATTTCAGAATGTACGCCATCAGTAAAATTAATAACTAATATTAAAAAAATTAGATTTCAAGGTGGACACGTATATTACCATCTCCATATACATGTAGTAATATACTCCAAAAATCTAAGTAGAATTATAATTAGGGTACTCAAATCATTTCAGTAACTAATTTTAATTGGTTGCCATATTATTCAAGTCTTTGTTTCTTGCTGTGTAGCTTCCTCATGGTTTCTTTGTTGAAATTTGGTTCGCTAAGAAAACGATTTTTTAATTGAATTCTCAAAGTCACAAAGTGAAGAAGAGTCTATGGTAAACTGATTTACAATTATTTTGCTACAAACTAAATCATTTCGTGCACCCTATCAATTTTAGTTATGTTTTCTCGTATTTACTATAATAAAAATTTTGACCCTTTCTCTAGTAAAAGGTATCATGGTTACCGATATTTATGAACTATCGGTACATTTTTTTATTTGATTTTCTTCTTTTTTTTTATTTTACCTGAATACATGGTTATTGCTTTCCCGATGCATGGTTCTTCTGTTTGTTTGTTCGAGACGATTTGTTGATTAGCATAAAGGTACTGGATGATATTGCTGTTAAGGGGAGATCGCCTTTTCTGTTGACTATTTTGACTTTTCTTCAAGTTTCTCTCCTCTATGTTTGATGCTCGGAGCCGTTGGTGTGTTCAATTTTTGTACGTCGTTGCTTCACTTGTTAATGATTTTGTTTATAGACTATCTCTAAGCGATCATTGTTATATGTTATTTTTTATAGTCACAACTGTATTTGTTCAATCTGTATTTGACAATATGTTTATTGATAAAGCTTCGATAAATGAATTATCCTTAAAAAATATTACTATCAACTTTTTTTAACATAAACTATTTTATGAAAAAACATGTTTAAATGTTCGTTAATAAAAAAAATTGTTCAAATTATTATTTATAGAATATTACTTAAATATTAATGTTCGTTAATATAATTTAATAAAAAAAACACTTGTCCAAACAATTATACAAATGTTGGAACCCGTAGCATATAAACGTGGCATGCAATCAAAGCTGCCAGTCAAAAGACGAGAAATACACTGAACGAGAGACATCAGGCAATTTATTACGAAACACATAGGCATCCACTTGGATAAAGACTTAAGAGCATGAAATAATTAAGTATATAAATAATCATTAAATTATATTAGGATATTTTTATTTATTAAAATTTATGAGATTATAAAATAATTATTATATTTATTAAATCATTATAAAATAATTAATAACAATTTAATGATGATTTTATAATCATTTGAAAATTTTGATAATTAAAATATCATGTTAACCCATGTTTTGAAAACCGGATCGGATTCACCGGTTCAACCGGGAACCGTTGTCAGGTCCGATTCATTCTAACCTTAGTGAACTGCAAGGAACCGCTGAACCGGCTGTGAACCGAACTGGATCGGAACCGCTAAGAATCGACCATCAATAAAAATTAAAAAAGTTAAAATTTTTATTTTGAAGTTTAATCAACTTTTGTTTTAGTTTTAATGTGTAATGTTTGGAGATTTTTATTAAAAGTAAATCAAGTAATGAATGATGGAATTTTGGTATTGTATTAAAGTATTATAGTTGTGGGGATATTTTTAGTTTTTTATTAAATGTTTTTTGTATTTTTATTTAATTTTTTTAAATAATTATGAAGTCGTCTGGTTCTTTCGACCGGTCTGACAGGTTGAACCAATGAATCAGTAGCACGATCGATTCGCTGACCGGTTTGGTTTTGAAAACCATGATGTTAACATAATATACTTTATCAATAATTAATATTAAGATTCAAAGACAAATGATCTCACCAATTAAGTAAAGGTAATGATCATATTTTTTCATAATTGTATTTTGTAATATAGTTAATGATAGTCCATCAATTCTTAATTATAGTAAATTAAGTGTACTATTTGGTAATAGGCTTTTTGAAAATGAAGTCTTAGCTTTCACTAAATGGGTGAAGAGTCTGCTTACACATGAATGAAAGCCGAACTGAATTCTTCTTTTTTGGCCAAACAATAGAATGGATATAATAATAATAATATTAATAATAATAATAATAATAATAATCCAATGTTTATTCAACAAAAACATTGAAATCTTATATACATTAATTAAGCTAAAATGGTCAAAAACTGCTTACAATGTTTCATCATCTCAAACTAAGTGTATTTTAAGGTAAAATTATCCTTTTTATGATATTCTTAATTGTTAAAATATTCATATACTCTATGGAATTTTCTGATTATTTTATTTATAATATAGAATTGAATTATTAGTTGATATATTAGATGAAGTATTAAAATTATTATTTAAAAAATTGTTTTAATTGTTATTTCCGAGTGGTCTCCGTGGTAAATGAATTATTGTTATTCCTTAATACCCGGGTTCGAACACCATAGATACTAAAATAGACCAAAACTGATAGTTTAAGTACTGAATGCACTAAGTTTTTAAACATGGGTATAAAAATGAAACAAAAATTAAATGTTAGGTATGATTTTGAAAAAAATTAAAAGTTTAGGTATTAAAATATATCAAAACTGATAGTTTAAATACTAAATACGTAATTTATCCCTAGAATTAAAATGTCAAAAATTAAAATATTTAAAAAATAAGAATTTAAATTATATTACTCAATCAAGTTTTAAAGATTAATTTTAACATTCAATTAAAAAAAGTTTGCAGTCAATCTGTCAACTATTTATCCAATAAAATATTACCTCAAGATATTTTCCCCAAGGAGAACACTTTAACATTTCATTTCCCAATCGGAAGCCAATTTTGCTTACTCAAAACTATTTTTTATTTGTAATTAATTAGTTAATCATTTTTTATAATTGTAAAAAAAAGGAAGTCGCTTACAGTTAATATATAACCGTCATTCCGTTTGGATTGCGCATTCAATTCAGACAAAGAACACACCCTTTGAATTACAAGAGGTTGGATTCAGATTCCCTTGTTTTTTCCTAATAAATTCTCCATGAAAGTTCATTTCTTCTTTTTTTTTCCTTGATGATAGTGATTTGGGGTATGGAAAAAATAAAGTCTGAAAAGTAGTGATTTTTATTGAAGTGGGGTTTTCTTTGTGTTTTTAGAAATGGGTTTAATGGAGGTTTCAATAATGCTTCATGTCGGGTTAGTTTTGATGCTGCTTTGGATGCTTTCTCACCATAATCTTTGCCATCCTGTTGCTTATTTCGTCTCTCTCATTTACCTCTATTTGGTAATTCATTCATCTTCTTTCGAAGAAGAAAAAAATTGAATGATGCTGCTTTGGATGCTTTCTCACCATAATCTTTGCCATCCTGTTGCTTATTTCGTCTCTCTCATTTACCTCTATTTGGTAATTCATTCATCTTCTTTCGAAGAAGAAAAAAATTGAATCTTTTGTCTATTTTTGAACTTGGTCAAAGATTAGTTTTTCTTTTAATTTATTTTTTCATTTCTTTGTTGATCGAAGGTTCATGAAAGGTATGTGACGAAATTGAGGAAGAAATTGGAGTTCGAGGAAAAAAGGCAAAACTTTAGGAGAAGGGTGAATCTCAATTTATTTCCTTTTTTTTGCTTTACTTGTTGAGTAATTGAAAATATAGATTTATTCTGATTGTAATTGTATTAGTTATCTGTCATCCTGGATGGATTTTTCCTTCTGGGTAGTTCTGATTACTTTAGCAGATCTTTTCTTCTTCTTTAATGGAGGTTTTTCCTTTCTTTATTTGGTTCAAACGGTTTCTTTTTCTAGTCAATTTAAGTCTTTTGGGTGTTGAGAAAATGTTTAGAAACAACTTCTTTATGAAAACCCCCTTTTTGGAAAGAAGAAGAAGCATCTGCTTTGCAACTTTAGGTTTTATTCTCTTTGTGATGCATGTGTAGGTAGATTCAAGATTTAGATTCATGATTTTGATCTGGTAAAGTTTATACTTTTAATGCTTTTGTTGGCCTTTTAATTCATGATCAGGTGCTTTCGGATTCCGAATCTGTTCGGTGGCTAAACCATGCTGTTGAAAAGATATGGCCTATTTGCATGGAACAGATTACATCACAGAAGATTCTGCTTCCTATCATACCTTGGTTCTTGGATAAGTACAAACCTTGGACTGCTGTAAGAAGTGTGCTTTATTGGTACTTCTGTTTTATTGACTCTCCCCGTAAAGTTATCACATGAAGATTCCGACTCAGTGAAATGTCCGATTTAGCGCGGGAGTTATGAACA